GAGAGCGGCTTGGGCGAATGTTTCTCCGGACCCGGTGGCGACTTGGAGAAATGCAAGCTTCTTATCTCCTGTCTTGCTCCCCCGGTGCTGAAGGCCGATGTTAAGGGTGCTGTTCGTTGGACAAACAAAAGTACTGATAAGGATGTGGTGCAGTTAATGCTCGCGTCTTCGATATGGCTGTTGAACATGAGCGTCATTTCCAACAGAACAAGCGGATGCGTGTTGGTCAGCAAGGCCGCACTAAGAAGAAAGTGAAGACCGCTGAGCAGCGGTCGAACGGCAAGGAGTCCCAGCCGAATGCGAAAGAAGGCGCTCAGGAGAAGAAAAAGCGGCCGCAGTTGAAGCATAACAAGAAATTTGACAAGAAGACTGACAGGAAAGTGAGAAAAAGCGCTGCACCTACAAAGGTTACGCGTGATCCTCCGTCTCCATGCCCTAAGTGCAACGTCATGCACTGGCTGAGCGACTGTCCTAAGGCGACTGAAGAAGAGAAGGTGACGCTCTGTGAGAAGTTGCGCCAAGAAACCAAGGCGCGGAAGTCACGTATGAAGCGACTCGGTGTTTTTATGCCAACTTCTAACCGCACTGTGACTATAAATGGCGTTTTCGAGCTTGCATGTTGCCCAGATACGGGATTGGACAACACAGTGATCAGCCAGCCTCATTGGGATTTATTACGCGCTGCCGATCCGACGGTTCAAGCAGAAATACTGGATACCCCAGTGCGTAGTATAACCTATGGAGGTCACACGGTGGTAGCCAATCAGAAGGTCGTACTACACATCCTAACCCACTCGGCGGCAGGCGCTAAGGAGCCCGCTGAGCCGGTGCCGTGCCTGCTCGTGAATTCGAGCGACAGCGAGGTCATTATTGGCAGAGACTTGCTGGGAGCCCTGGGGATCGATGTGGACCGGCAGCTGGAGATGATTGCTGGCCATGGTGAAGATGAAACTAGTGGTGACCCTTTCAATTTGGAAGCGGACGGTCCTCCTGCTAACTCGAATAAACTTGCTACCGATGAAGAATTTCGTGCTGCAGTCGAGAATTTGATCGAACGAGCTCTGGAGCATGAATTTCCAGCGGATAAAGTGGAAAAGCTGCGTGTTATTGTATATGCCTATGATGTGTGGCGTTTGGAACTTCGTGATGACCCGCCTGCACGCGTTTCACCGCTCGAAGTGCGCTTGAAGGAAGGGGCTCAACAATCCATATATAAGCCCCGGAAGTATCCCCCGCATATCCGTGAATTTTTACGAGAATTTAACGCTGAGCTTGTGAAACTAGAAGTTGTCTACGAGAATCCAGCAAGTAGATGGGGTTGTCCCGTACTGCCCGTCAAAACGTCAAGCAGGCTCAAGGATCTGCGGCAGACGACTGACTATCGCGTTGTCAATGCTATGACGGACACCATGGCAGCGGAAAAACACTTGGGTCTTTTTGATTTCCTCTCTAGCCGATATTTGCCAGGTGTGGCTGTCCTATATGATTGACAAGAAACATTTCACGCCACGTCGAGTCCCACAAGGTTGTGAGAATCCAGCCATTTACTTCCAAAAAACCATGGAGTAGTGCTTTCCTAGTCTTCTATACAAACACCTTCTTGTGTGGATTGACGACCTGCTACTCTACGCCGACGACATTGATGAGTATTTGGAGAAGCTTGCTGAGCTATTCTCGCTAATGAATGATTTCGGCCTGTAACGCAGTGCAAACAAAGCCAACCTCTACCAGCGTGAAGTTAAGTGGTGTGGTAGAATTATAAGCGCGGACGGTGTCCGACACGATCCTTCTAGCATAGATTCTCGTCGATCCATGCCATATCCTTACGGATGAGGTGACGGCTCTGGCGACAACGGAGCCGACCATCTCGACCCTCCGCCCGCTCGATGACGAGGGGTTTATCTGGCCCACTTTCGAGGATACTGCTGCTGCGCAGTCGCTGTGTGATCCTCCATCGGTCTGTATTAGCAATTAACACGCACCCCATTTCTAGCTGCAGAATGCCGACGGCTTTTTTACTCTCGACAGCCGTTTTTTATACCGTCGGAGGCTGTTGAGCTGATTTAGAGATTTTTCGTTATTGCGCATTGTGGTGCCCGAGGCCACCGTAGTCGATCTGCCATGATCAAGCATCTTCGCCGAATCTTTTTGATCGATTCTCTCAACTCTTTGGTTTCCACCTTCATTCGGCAGTGCCGGCTGTGGCTGCATTCGAAAGTGGGAGGATTATTACTAGGACTTGGAGTGAAACGATCGAGTGTTCGGAGCGCAACGGTGTTCTTCATTTCGATTTTCTCTTCATAGGAAATAGTTTCGGTGACTCAGAGTACATTTTTGGCTCTCAAGGATCATGCGTCACATTGTTGTGGATTGGTTGTGGTAGACACAGCCGGCAGTAGTGTTGCTGTGGAAGCGCTTCTTGCGTGGTACGCGCGCTTAGCATCTCTTTGGGTAAGCGACAACGGAACGCACTTCTAGAATGAAGTGGTGAAGGAGCTGTCTCGAAGACTTAGGGTGCAACATCAATTTATTCCTGCTTACTGTCCCTGGATAAACGGCTCTATCGAGCGCGTTAATCGAGACGTTCTGCAAGTGATCAGAGCGATGATTCTCGAGTACAAGATTAACCATCAAGATTGAGTGTACCTGGTGCCCATGGTACAGTCAAGCCTCAATCATACTGCGATACCTTCACTTGGGAACAGCGCTCCTTTGATGTTTTTCACAGGATTGCCGTGTCCATCTCCTCTTCGTGAATTTTACATGCCCAGCAGTGGAGATTTGGTGAAGGTTCCTGTTAGTGACAAAATGGAAGATTATCTCGGTAAGTTGCGGAACAGTATTCACACCATGCACTAGGATTTAGAGGATCAGCGCTTGAAGCAGCAGTTGCTGAACAAAGAGCGAGAAAGAGGGGGAAATATTGTCAACTTTACTGAAGAGGACTATGTGTTACTCTCCCGAGTTGATGAAAAAGCGGAAGCAAACGCCTGGTAACTTGAGTCGGACCTTATCGTATTGTGCGAGCAGATGCACGCTCTTTCCTCGCTCAACATCTGATCACGGGTACAGAGCTGGATGTCCAGGCTCAAATTTTACGCGGATTCCAGTTTTAACGTCACTAAAGAGCTTTTGGAGCACATTTCGTCTCAAGGTGTTATTCTCGCTGTGGATAAGCTCAAAGGAATCGGTGGAATAGTAGCATTAATGACTTCGAAATTCTCGTGCAGTGGAAGGACTTGAGTCAATCGAGGCCTCGTACGAGCCGCTCACCAACCTAGCTCGTGATGTTGCAACATTGATACAACAATACGTTAGCACCGCTGACTAAGATTTGCAAGAACACTGGCAGCGAGTGACCCGTGTGGAATTGCAGCAGCCAAAAGCTGCCGAGGCCTCAACAATTGGAAGGCTTGGACGATGCAATAGACGTCGCAAAGCCAACCGCAATGGACAACCTTCAACGCGCCCGGTCGCCCCTGGTATTTCGGCTGTCGAATCTAAAGAGCCTAACAGAGGTGGTTCAGCTGATGCAGTGCTTCAAACATTAGTAAACCGACCTGGGTTTGAAAACCAACAATCAAATTTGTCTACGACTGATACCCCTTCTCAGCAGCACAGGATCGACAAAGAAGTCGACTATCTTCAGGGCAGCGCTTATCTCCAACGGATGCCGCCGATGGAGATCGTGTCGGTCGATGTACGTGCTCGCGGACTGCTGGTGCCGACCAATCCGCAGCCAGAACCCAGCAGGATGCAGCACATTCCCGCAGACACTGAAGGAGAGGAACGGGTTTACTAGACTCACAGGAGGCCAGGAAGTACCTACATGGTGCTTGATATGACTGCTGACTGGGTGTTTAGTAGAGAAGGCGTACTTCAGCGGCGAAAACTTCGCTTTAGGGACAGTGTGGTGGATTGGTGAATCAAGCAAGCTTCCTCCATCTGTAGTGACCCTGGAGTACACGAGGCGGGCCAGGTACATCTTGGTCAGTGACGTTTCCTCACGTCATTTATATAACAGATTCTTTTAGCTAGCAACCAGTTGTCCTTGTGGATTTACTTTAGGCCTTGTATGTCCCCTAACTGCACCTCTATGTGCTTGAGAAAGAAGGGCAGCCTCAAGTTGTTCCTGACTATCACTCTATATTTTACCAGTAACCAGAATAGCAATTGCACACTAGGCTATCCGTTCCGGCAGGTTCGCCACCTGCCTTGGCGGTGTTTTTCCTGTTTCAACTCCGGAAACCAGTACACGCGGAATGTTAATGTGTTCAAGGCGCCCAAAAGTGAATTAAGCAAGTAATTAATAGCGCCCAGCGAAATGGCTGTTGCGTACATACAAGTATCAATGTCCGGCCCAGGCTTAAGCCAAGCATGTAGACTAAACGATCCAACGACTGCTTGGCAATGGCAGGGTTCTCTAAATAATTAAGTTCTCTTAGACACGAGCCTTGACTAAATGCCCTCAGCGCGTGTGCCAAATCCATACCAGAATTCAATTTCCTCAAATTGCCAACTATTGACTAAATTCTCAGAATTTTATCCGTGAAAATATTTAAATCGTCCTAGAGTATTTCTCTGCACTTTGAAACTCAAAGGTTCTTAGCAGATGCTTTGATGCAGACTCATCTGAATTGCACATCAGCAGCACCATCACGACATTTTTGATGATGTTGGCATTTGAGCACTAATCAATGCCGTAATGATTACAAGCGAGGTCCGTAATCTGGCATCCTGATAGCGTTAAAATTCTGTGAATACAGTGCCTGATTCTATTTCCTTAGACAAAGGGCTCATCCAATTCAACATAAAATTAAAATTCTCCGAGCTCTACTTGATTGCATTCAGAAAAAAAGGCGTTTGGCAAATCTACCTGATTCATTTATGTTTACGGTAAAACGACTTTGAAAGACCCCTGAGTCATGGCCCATGATACACAGCAATATCACAATTTCACTTTCCTGTAGCCCAACACTTATTTAAACTGTAAAGCCACTATGCGCTCCTGCTTCGTTCTGATCATTTTCCTAGCTGGAATTTGTAAGTGTCTCTCGCTCAATTGGAGTGGCAATACGTTAAAGGAACGAAGCCACACCAGCACCAATTCTCTCCCCAGTCCACCTTTCATCTCAACAATTAAGACCCCAAAAAGGTTCTTAAGATCCTACGACGCACCTAAGCAAGACAACATCGGTCATGATACGGACGAAAGAGCTGGAATTTCTGGGATAGCCATGATTGACGATCTTGCGTACAAGTGGGCGTTGAAGAATACGAGGGATCCAATGGATGCATTCCAGCGCTTACATGTTGTGAAAACTGGCGGCAAATTGGAAGGCAACAAGGAATTCATTCGGTGGCTCCAGTACGTAAATCGATACAAGGCGACACGACGAGTCAAGTTCGGTGAGGATGAGCTGCTCAGCCTTCTAATGAAAACGAGAGCAGAAGAAGAACTCGTGTCCCTGTTCCAATCACTTCGACAATACCCGGACATTACGAAGATGGCTAGCGATATGCAAGCGTCCATGATTTTGAGCTCTGCGTCTAGTCACAGACTGATCAATGAGGCATGGTTAATGTCCCGAGAAACTCCCGGCGAAGTTTTCAAAATCTTGCGACTTGGCGATAACAGCATCAGTCGGCTAGAGAATAACCCCCTCTTTATTCAGTGGCTCAGATATGTTACGATGTACAGGGCTGTACACGGACGGATTTGGAAACACTATTTAAGCGTTTCTCGACTGTACCACAATTTAAATTTTTTAATTCAATCGTTGCAGAACTTCCCAGATTTGGAGAAACTCGCACTAAGCTTACAGACCCACCTCTATCGGAAATGGATGATCGAGATCCAGCTTACCCCATCTGAGCTCTTGGGTCTTCTAGAGACAACCAGAGTCGCGAGAAGTGATCCCAAATACCGCAATTTGGAAGCTTACACCATGTACTTCGCTGAAAGCCGAGGTGGTACGCCTTTGTTGAATAAATTGAAAACGCTGTTCACGGATGTCGATCCCTACGCAGCACTGTCTGCCGCTTCGAGCGCCTAGCAAGGAATTTCACCCTTTCATTTAATACAACGTTTAAAAAGATACAGTCATTTTGCTTAAATTAATGATTCTTAGACGGAATTCGTCGGACATTCGTCAGTCATCGCTATTTTCATGAAGTTTGATAGGCTACCTAGAGAACGTCATACAGTCCGTGTTGAGTTTGGCAAATGCTTGCCGTGTCTTGCTGGCATTATTCATTTTCACAAATGGTTCTTATAAGTTGACACAACAGTGCTCGCACATTGAAAAGCTATGACAGACAACTCAATATACACGTACGAGACATCTAAGATATCAGTATGCTATTTGATATCATAGCTAAGCACACTCAATCTGATAGTTGCTCTTCATAGCGGTAATGTGCGCCGATGACAGCGCGGCGCGCTGACACTGCTCGCCACTGAGCCATTTAGGCCATGGAGGACGACTGCCGGAAGGCGTCCACAAGCTAAGGGAAAAACAGTTTTTTTTTCAGAAAATGTCAGACAGAATGTCCGACGCGAACCAATCAGATGGGTACGATGTCCGACAGATTTTGAGGAATGCTCATGAGAACCAGCCTGCTGAAATATAGGATAAATCACGCATATAGGAGATAATTTGGGTGAAGGAATTACAATTGAGTTGCCGTGTAGCCTTTTACATCCAGAATATGAATTTAAACGCATTTACTAAAAGAAGTTTATACCCCTACTATGAGCTGAAAAGCTGGCTCTGGCGGGGCGTCACTCGTCAGTTAAGTTGTATTATCAGCCTCAACATGTGATGCAGGCTCAATGCAAGGCGACCCAATTGTCTACGTAGATTTGCGGCACGTGTATCGCGCAATCCTAAACACTTTCAGCGTAAGACGATTTATAGTTCTACACTCAGTCTTCTATTTTAAAAGAGGTCAGTTTACGAAGGGCGCGGATGGTATTCGAGTGCACGTTGAGGGGTTTTCGAGTGCAGACATTTTTGCCACGAAATGGCGGAATGCCGAGTGCAGATAACACATGGCGATATCGTCGGCTCTATACTTGTCTTGTCCGGTTTATGCTTGTTTGAATTTACTACACTGTCCTTGGGGCCGGATGCAGAGCTCACCAGGATGTAAGAGGAGAAAAATACATAAATTTGTGAGAAGAAAACATGAATGAGCCTTGGATCCTGGTACTTCCTACACAAGGTACGCTGAGCTCCGCTAGTCCAGTCCTACGCCCACATGCTCAAAGCAAACTGTCACTCCTGATCGTCTTAGCTGTCCAAGTACTGATCGTCGTCGGCGTCACGGTCGACACTGCGGGGATGCGATTCGTGTGTGCTTGCGTGGGCGGCAGCACTCTTCGTAACATCGAGGCCAGTACGTCTTGATTCTACGATCAGCTGCACCAATTCCTGGCACTCTAGGAAGACTTGCTTGCCTCCCTCGAAGTCGACAAGCCATCTATATCGCGACTTGCGCGCTTTGCATCGTTTCATGAACCGAGATGCGTTGGTACCGTCCTCTGGTCGATGGACGACTCGGGCTATGCTCTCCCGTGGAGCTCTCCACCATTGCCCTGAACACAATGAGAATTGCACACGGTAGATAGATGAGTATGAAGTAGAAGCAACTTAGAGTGTTACGGTGAACGTACGGCGAGCGTTGAATTTGCTCTTATCGTGTTGACGGAGAAGCGCTTGAACGAAAGGAACTCTTACACTGTGGGCTGGCGTAGCTGGCGAGCGAAGTTGGCGATGAAAGCACACTAACCCTAGCTCGTGGATCGCTTTGTAGACGAACGCCTGCTTATCGTTGCTGCAACATGTAGCTTACATTAGCTACGTCTGAACTAATGAAGGCAGAGCCTTGACGCATCTTCTTCCGTGCTCAAGCCTTAACCTCAGCAGTGCACTCGGTCATTCCCTCAAGTTGAACAAGGGACACTCGGTTTCACACCTTTCGAACAAAAAACTAACGGTGCACTCGATTTCCTAAAAAAAAAAGCACTCGAAAGTAATATCGTTCCGTTTACGAATGTTACCTCTTGGGAAGTATTAAGGAAATACTCATCACAAGACTTTTAAAATATAATATGGACACCTTTTTGGAGAGGTGGAATATAAATTCTCATCTGAATTGCACATCGACAGAACGGCAACGACACTTTTATTGACGCTCATTTCTTAGCAAGTGAGTAATCGAAGTCCGTAATCTTAAAACTAAAAAACGTAATCAGTAATAAGAGTGGGATTTAAAGTAGCTCTTCACTATTGAAAAGTGAGGAGAAGAAATGTTCTTCAATGTCGTGCTGATCACATTCATCGTACGGATTTCGCTTTGCTCCTCGCTCAACTCATTGATAAGCACCAACCAGCTCAAGGGCCTGAGCCACACCAGGTCAACGTCCATCCCTGCAACGAAGAGATCGTATTCCACAACAAGGTTTCTAAGGTTCAGCGACGCATCTAAGCACGATGATATTGATGATAATAGCGAAGAGAGAGCAGGGGTTTCTGGGATAGCATGGCTTGGTAATCTGGCATCCAAGTGGGCGCTGAAGAACACGAGGAATCCGATGCAAATTTTCAAGCTTTTACGTACTGTGAAAACTGGCGGTAAGCTGGAGGGTGACAAGGAATTTGTTTGGTGGCTTCTGTACGTGAATCGATACAGAGCTAAGTTACAAGACAAGGCCTCGTTCAGTGACGACAAGCTATTTGATTTGGTGCGGAAACTGAATTCGGAAGAAGAACTGGTGTCTCTGTTTCAATCGCTTCGACATTATCCGGACATCAAGAATATCGCCGATGATATGCAGGCGTACCTGATCTTGAGCTCGGCGTCTAGTCACAGACTGATGAATGAGGCATGGTTAAAATTCCGAGAAACCCCCGAAGTAGTTTTCAATATCTTGCGGCTTGAGGATGAACCTCTGTACGCTCTCGACGGTAATCCCCTGTTTATTCAGTGGCTCAGATACATTAAAGCATACAGAGCTGTGAATGGAGGCGACTCGTTCACAGACGTGCATGTGTTCGACTTTTTACATGAGTTTGCTTCCTTGCCGCGATTTGGAATATTTCTTCAGTCGTTAAAGGACATCCCAGATTTGAAGAAACTCGCAAAAAGGTTTACAAACGCAGATTGGCTAACCCCATCGCAGCTCGAAAAAATATTTGGCTCACCGTATCCAATCAACTTCGCGGAACTCCCAAAGAGTGATGCCAGGTACCGCAATTTGGAAAGCTTCACGGCGTATTTCGCTGAGTACTGGGGAGGAACAGCATTATCGTGACAATATTGTTCGCCAAGAAGGACCCATACGCTGCAAGTTGAGCCGCTGCAAAAGGTTAAAGATTCCTGACTTTAGCTGGTCGAAAGTGTTAGGGATTAATATCCCATCGCAAGATTAGCGAAGTTTTCTATTGCAGTCCAACAATTGCTACGATACTTACTTCGGCGTGCGCAGCCGTCTGGAGAGCCAAGTGTGATGTTTCTAAGATATTTAACATTGGTAGGAACCCTTTTTACAGCACCAAAACTGAACCGCACTATTGTTTTTCTTCTGATGAAAAACTTCGTTTCATTTTTCATTGCGTCTACACCGGATTTTAAATGGCTTCACAAGAAGCTTACAGACTTTGTGAGCTTATTGTGAAGCCATCCTAAATCCGGGATAGATCCTGTATCAATTGAATGGATACATGTAACCCAAAGCACGGCAAGGTCACAAAAAGCTCGTATAATGGAGTGTTGTCCGAGGAAAATTAAACCCCGTTTTGACCCGAAAAACACCGCAAAAAAACGGCTCTTTGCAAAAACGCAATTACTTTAGATATTATCAAAGTGAAAAAAATGAAGTACAATTATTGCAACTGTGCAGGCTCAGAGGCTTGTTTACCGAATGACTGTGGCGCTTGAATTATTATACACTTTCAGTTTGGCCAGATCCCTTTACACCACGCTTCAATTTCCATGCTGACCATCTTCCTTTCGGGAGATGTTTATGTTTCTCGTTTATCTTGACAGCTCACGGACCCGGGTCACAACGGAATAGATGACAATGTGAACAGGTATGTCGATCGACTTCTACTGCATGCATTACTAAAAAGCTGTCGAAGCGGCTGCAATTACAACGACAAGATCTTTGTTGTGGAACAATGGTTTTACTTTATCCTGCAAAGCATTTCCACCATGTTGCTCTGCGACGTACATGGTGTAAGCTTCCACATTGCGATATCTGGAATCATTCGTCGACAGCTCGCGACATTCATAAAAATTGCAATGTGGAAGATAGACTGCCGTTGTCAAAATAGATAATAGCTTCTCAGAAGCTCTCACGGCGCTTGCGTCCAGCATAACCAGCGACAATCACTGGGCGAGAACACAAGTGTTTGGCTTCAAAGATGGCTGCGCACGTTGTAGTGCGACCCACAGTGAAATTGTTGGGCGCACAAGCATTATCGGGTGCTTCACGTTATCCCGTCAAATACCTTTTTTATAATTATGGAAACTTCTTTATCCCACACCATACAAACTTCAAGTAAAACTCAACCTCACCAGCCCTCTGGCGTCATTATCAGTCTGACCATGGAGAAGGATCTTCGCGACGCATATGCAGCACTCAAGCTGCTTCGGGCAGACCTTGTGAAGACCCGCCGCGATAAACGTGCTCTAGAGGCCTCACTGTCCCACCTGCAGACCCACGGGCCGCCTCCCAGCGCTGCACAAGCTCGCGAGAGTCGCGAGACGCAACAGATGCAACACGAGGACGCCAATGCGCAATTATGGCGTCTCGCTGCAATTTACGAAAGTCGATTGGCGGAAATGGAAATACAATTATTGCACAATAATTGTCAAAAGAAGGAGGCAACTCCCGAAGTTGAAGACAATCAACAAGAAGTCGAGGAAGTGGAGAAGCTCGCGCTGCTTCACAAGCTCCACAGTCTGACCGCCACCGTCGAGCAGCAGACGCAGACGATGCTGGCGCAACAGGCAGCTTTTGCGCTGCAGAAGGGCGAGCTGGAGACGACGCTGGAGGACACACAGCACCAGCTCCAGGCAGAGAAGAGCAGGGCGACTGATGCGCTATTAGAACAACAAGCAGCTAAAGAGAGGTATGAGTTCTTGGAGACTCAAGTGGAGATCTTGAAGCAGGACAAGAAGACGTTGGAGGAGGAGAACCATACACTCCACAAGAACCTAGCGACGCATGCCCAGACGAGTAGAATATTGCAACAACAAGTGCAGGAGAAGGACGAGGAGCTCACTGTGCACGAGAAAACTATTCAAGAACAAAAAGAGAGACAAGAACGATATATAACGACGCTGAGAGACTTGGAGAATACGTGTGAGATGTTTAAGACCCAAGATGCGGCTTCTGAGGCCAAACGAAGTGCTGAACGAAGGAGTATGAAGCGAAACTAGCAGATATTCAAGAAACATACACGTTCAAGGTGGCCAAACTGGAAAATGAGCTGGAAACGACTCATAAACAACTCACAGCAGCGACAACTAGCCGAGCGATCGAATTGAAAGAGCAAGACGTCAAGTTTCAAGCGGTTTTGGACAAATTGAGGCAGCAGGAGCAACAGGCGACGACACTGCGAGACTTGGAGACTAATTTCGCGGACGTGCAGGCCAAACTCACGATAGCGGAGACCAAATTGGCTGATGGAGTGAAGCAATACGAGCAACAACTTGCTCAGGCCTCGCAGAAGCTACTTGTTCAAGAACAAGACCACGAACAGCACGTAAGTTCTCTGCGTGACGTGGAAAACGAGCTGGCACGAGTTCAGACGCAACTCACGGATACGGAGGCCAAGTTACAGCTAAACGTGACACTATTCGACGAAAAACTCGCGCAGACTTGCCAACTTGCTGCTGAACATGAAAAGACAGCTCGAGTGCTAGCTATGGAGAAGAAGGCGCTTCAACAAGACGTTCGTGAAGCTCGACAGACATCGAAAGTCAAGACCGAAGAGCTTCTTCATTTCCAGTCGATGATGAAGCAGAAAACTGGGGACCATTCGCAGCGTTTAAGCCAGTATCAAGCGCGTTGTGAGCGTCTAGAGACTCAACTATTATCATCTGAAGACCACAAGGTGTACGAAAGCAATCCAAGCGGTGAGTTGAGAACTTTCCATGGTCTTAACGACGCCGAAATCATCGCGCTGCCCTCTTCCAAGGCGTGGGTTATATTACACTCTGCAATAACCAAGCTGGAAGACTTCTTCCCATATCTTGAAGCACTGAGTAGTGCATTACAAGACGTGTTAGCCTTGTGCAAGAGCCATGCGACTTTTCTTCCAACGCTATGTGAGCGTTTTGAAGACAAGACAGTTAGCGACAAGACCCAGCCGGTGTTGGTTATGGCGTTAAAGCTGGTACGCTTTGCTGCCGTGTTGAAGACTCAGGTCCAGCAAGACGACGCTGTTGTGACTTCAAAAGCGGTCCAAGGTTTCCGTAAACGCGTGCTGGATGCTCTCGCGCAATGGTACGAGTGTGGCGTGGATGGTTGTGACCAAAGTGGAAATGGGTCCATGCCCACACCCACTTTTACTACCACTTCTCGAGAGACAGCACTCATTTTACAGAATTGGACCAGTGACCGGACAAAGCAGTTGGGAGTGAGACGCTGGTTGGCACGGATGGAAGCGTATCCTGGCGTCCCGCCACTTCGAGGAGCGTCGTCGAACCGTGTCCTGGAACTTCCTCCGGAGAGTTGTACACTGGAGCTGGAAGATATGACGCCGGAGGTGAAAGATGCGTTTCTGTTGCTCCTGATACCGATCTTGAAGCAGAACCGAGCGCTACATGTGCGTGTGTTAACACGTTATACTGAAAACCGCGGAAGCACATCAAGTTGTGATGGTGGTACTGGGAAAGTGTGGGCCATGCGGATCCATGTCCAGAGTGCTGTCACTCTACAAACCAGGAAGTCTCGCCCAACTTCTTTCAAACTGACGAGCACTGATGACTCACCCAGGCCACTAGCACCCAACTCTCCAGCGTCGTCAGTGTCATCATCCACTTCCAGTTCGGCAAGCTCGAGACTGCAGATTATTCAAGAACGCTTGCAGTATTTGCACAATAATGCATAAGATAGCTGGAATAGCATAGGAATACACAAGAATGTATGAGTAGCACTCATATGCTTAAAAAATAAGATCTGATACCTGCATCAGCTTCTTAAGAAACTAAACTTGTACTAATACTTTAAAGTATGACAGTTTCGTACTTTGATTACATTACAAGTACGTATTGTTGATGTACTGTACATGTAGTGTACTGTGTACTGCTGATACATGTAGTACATGTAGAAGCATAATTTTCAGCTCGATCAGCTTTGGGCAATAGAAATATTAATATAGTACTACGAACTGTTCAGTAGTATTACAGTAGTAGTTTCTTCTGTGTTACTAAAATCATAAAACAGTTTCAGACAAATTTTTTGTTTCTCCTTCATTATGTCACGCTCTTTAATTCTCTTCAGCTTATTCAGCTTTCTTCTTAGCTTCGGCGAACATAAAGTCGTAGTCCTGGATCTGAGTCTTCAAGGAGTCGCATTCCGCCTTCAGACTCGCGATCTCGTCGCGTTGGCGCTTGATCTCTTCTTCCTGCGCCTTGGCCGTCTCAAGCTGCTTGTCCGACTCATTCTTCTCGTCCATTAGTTTCATGAACGCCGAGCTCTGTCCTTCCGCTTGTTTAGTCACAGCAGCGACCTGGTCTTCAGCCTTCTTAAGTTTCTCGTCCAAGGTCTCGATCTTGCGCTCCAGATCCGCATTCTCCTGCACCAATCTGGCGAGAGCGTCCACTTTCTTCTTCTTCTCTTCTCCTTCTTCATCTCCAAACATCTGGTGCAGCTTCTCTGTTTGTATCTTAAATGACTCATTCTCCGCTAATAGCGACTTGTAGCCAGCTGCAGCGCCCTCCGCCTGCTTCTTCATAGCTGCCAAGTTCTTCTCCAAGCGCAGGTTAGTGGCTAAAGTGATGTATACGAGGCGTAGAAGGAGGAACAGGAAGAGGCAGAAGCCCGTGATGTACATGTCCCGCTGCGCTGTGAGCAGACGGATACGCAAGCCATCGCCCAACACCTCGTCCGAAGAGTGGTGCTTGTAAACTGTCATGACATCCGCTGTAAAAATTAGAAGGAAAAAAAAACAGTTAGAGAGAGTTGGCTAGATCTCGGGCTGTAGTGCATCTTTGAAGCTGATGCAGCTGTGCAAACACAGATACTCGTGTACGTACAAATAAAGAGCAGCGAAATTATGGAGAGCACCACGGTGGCGACTGTACTGGCTGGGGTGTCCTTTAGAGTCTTCGCTAGGAAGGTGATGACGGCGTGCGCGATCCACTGGCCGAACGGGAGGCTCAGCAGCAGACACACGACGGCCTCTGTTATCATGAGCCAGAACATGAGCTTATTTAGCAACATTGTGGCTCTTTAAGTGTCGGGAGGAGGATCTTGGTGGTTCTTGTGTGGAGATTCTTCCGTCCTTGGCGATTGATACGATAATGAGATGAATATGGGCGCCGGGGGGAAATTTAGACTTGGGGGTTGTAAGAGAGGAATGTGTACGTTACATAAACTGCGAAAAGTATCTGTGACGTGTGAAAATGGCATTGGGCGCAACGCACTTGCCATAATCAGCCATGATCTTTTTCTCGTACTGCTGTTACAGATTGGAAATACACGAATAATCTCATGGGAGATTCACGTCGCGAAAGTGAGATGTGTCAAAAACAAGCTTAGTAGCTAAAGACTCCTTGCCGTAAAGGTGGGCTCGAAATAACGCATAACTGGGGTCGCTACTCTCTCCTAACGTTGTGCTTCTCAAAGCAAGCATACCTTAAACCTGGATCGTCAGGAGAGCTGAAGTTATTCAATTACAAACCCATCCACTTAGGAATTAGTTGGCACGCTTCATCAACCCCTGATGACTTCTTCTCCGCAAAAAGAGACGCAGTGTATGAGCTAACAGGAAATACCATATAGATGATTGATCACACCAATGTGACTATTGCCATCAAAGTATTTGACCATATCCATCTTGACAGCGGCTTCCGCTCCCGTTTCCAACATCCTTTTACCTTCTTGGTAGTGTACTGGAGCATGAGTCGACACGCTCCAACATCCTTTCACCTTCTTGGTAGTGTACTGGAGCATGAATCAACGCGATCTTTCTTTTCATCCTCACTGAATTATTCGTCGCTGTCGCTGTCATTCACAGAACAGGAACTTTTTGTGTCAAACTTCGACGCAACCTTATCACCGAATTCTTGGTTGGTGGCAATCGTCTTGTGTCCATGAATAGAAGAAGAAGCACTCATTTTCGGCACGGGTATCATGCACTTCATTGAACTTCCCAAGCGAGCTTGCAAATGACAAATCTGTCGTCCTTCTCGAGTTTTGATACAGTTTTCTCTGGTTAGTACGGTTAACTCCATCCAGGCACGCCCAGATTTCGCATGTTCCATTGTTCCGATATCCACGAAAGATATTTCCAAAATACTGCAACGAACCCAGACAAATTTGACGATCCAAAGAAGCTGCAAAATTTAAAATAGACGCAGATTTGTCTGCCAGTGGCCCCGCAATAAATCCTGTTTTTCCTTTTTAACCACATTCTCACTCAGAAACGTCCATATCTAACGCACTTGAGGACGACAATACAGCATCATGTCCTCACCCGAAGATAATCTACAAACCTTGAGTAATGTTTGGCAACGCCACGTAATCTCCAGCCTTGGTATCAATCTGAGGAAATGTCTCAAGTGCATGAGTATTACCCAGACAAGGCCGTTTGGGCGAAACTTAGCCAGCACGTGGATATCGCTTTCGGATGGTTGCAACCTTGTTCCAAAAACCAGGTCGTCAATTATTAGCAACGACGGATGGATCTCGTCAAAGCCCACCGGGTCTCCGTGCCTATCAAGCGTCACAAAGTCTGCATTGTCAGTAATAAGCCACTGTCCGGCTAGTTTCTTTACCGAGAGCAGCTGCAAGAGACATGCTGGAGTCTAAATGCCTTCGCTTTGCGACTTGATCTCTTCTCATAGCTTGTCTACGGACTGGATTTCCACGGTGTCAATGGTGACAGTAAATGCTCTTCTCACCTCGCCAGAGCTGAGTGTCATCTTCGCCATTCACGCAAAATCTGTGAGAAGAGAAGAAAGTTTGTGACATCTGACAATAAGACCGCTTTTTTAGTCTTCGCAAAAATTAAATTGACTACCAAGAAATTTACAATCAAATGCAGTGATCGTTTCAAAAAAGAGCGTTTCGAATGTCAATAAGTGCATACTTTGGGCTCTCTGTATCGACGAGAGCCGTAGGTAACACCACTGCTGCACACATGACACAGATACTGTATCAATAATGTGAGTGATTAGTATTATATGTAGTCTAGAAATAACTGTGATCTAATACGACATAGTAAGATGCTATTAAATTGAACACATGCGACTGTGGAAGCTTCTAGAAGCTTCCATCCGTCTTAAACTGTGGAGGCGGCAGTTTCCCTTTTTTGGCGCCCTCCCTTAAAGCAGGTTCCTTTTGAAATACTGGTAGCACCTATTGGTCCCAGTGACCTGACAAACGGAGCCCATGGCGACGAACGCCCAGCTGCAAGTTGAGATCGACCGGCTTAATCAAGTTATGGCAGACCGCACGCGAGTGCCGACCAATCTACCCAAGTTCACCGGCAAGAGGGGAGAGGACATACGCGAATAACCGTTCCAGATCGAGAGCGCCTGCCGCATTAACAACATCCCGATCGAGGACACGAACACGCGCCTCCCAGGAATCGCTGGGTGAGCGATGGAGAAGCCAGCCTCGGGGTGGTTCCTACATTGGTCATCGACTACTCGGAGCGAGGAGCACACGTGGTATTTTCCGTGACCATGTGCTCCAACACCTCGAGGCGTCGAACTACCAAGCTGTACTGCGTGAAACGCTTCAGCGGCCCAAGCAGACGGCAGATTTCGACTGTTATAACGAACACGTGGCTACGTCAAGCTGGAGAACCCTGAGACACTGAGCGATGTCATGGACCTAGCGGTTAAATACGAAGTCACCCACTCCGTGGACGAAATGCGCGATCGTCCTTCCCGCGAGGGCAAGAAACGCACCGTTGATCATCGGTCTTCGGGACAAGACAGGCCAGCCAAGGGAAAGTCGATTCGCGGAAGGGGTCGGTTCAAACCAAAGCCGGACACCAAGCGGACCGAGAGCCGTATCTGCCATTTCTGCAAGAAGCCTACCCACATCAAGGCCAACTGCTTTGCCTGGAAGAAAGAACAAGGCACGCGGGAAAACGATCAATCACGCCAGTGAAAGAGGGTCCTGAAATGGCAGAGAGCGTAACCAGAACATCTAAGATTAAGAATATCAGCCTTAACGTTCTGTGCGAAGCCCCTCTAGTCTACAACTCACGCCCGTTGCTCTCGATAACAGGAGGAATCCGCGTGAGCGCTCGGAGTTTCTCCACTCAGCGTATGCTGTTGGACTGTGGTGCTACAACGATCTACGTGTCCAAACGTTGGGTCGAGCAGCATCAGCTCCAGCCAACGAAGCTCGCTGATAAGAACATCCGAGTCAAAGTTGGAGACAACGAGATCATCGAGACAGGGCTGAAGGTCCTACCTCTTAGCGCCGCGGTGTCTGGTATGCACTAAGCGTACAAATGTGTCGATGTCGTGTACGCGATCCCCGACGAATTCGACTGCATCCTTAAAAAATCCCTTTTTTTGAGGACATGCAACCGCAGATCAACTGGAGGGGTTGACAAATCGAAGGAGCTGGAATCAAGACCTGCACTTGGAGCAGAACAGGCGAGCTCTACGAGCCGATCGAGGAAGGCAGACCCGTAATTGCCTCCGGGCTTCGGAGATCTGTCATAGAGAAAGGCCTATCGGCATAACTACCCGATCCCTCGTCGAGGCGCCGCGCTGGGAAACGGATATGACGTCCGCGGCCGGACGCGTTTTTGATCGAGCGCAAGAAGAATCCCCAAGTGTTGTTCGCGATCAACGAAAAGACGCGTTAGCCGACAAGGGTTCGGTGGAGAAAGATGGCAAGATGTCATCGGGGCGCGAGTGTGCTCTCCGAAACGCTGATGAAAGCAGCAGTACCCGTGGGAAGGACAGCGTCGTGGAGAAGATGTTCACGATGGGTGCTGTAGACGAGAGTGGTGTGCAGACGAAGTACGAAAGAAATTTCGGAAGTTTCTAAGAATCAAGACTAAGTCGTCGGATGAACCAGACTTCATGTTGGTACTGACAAACGAGACTATCATGCAAGTGGCGCGCGCATTGCAGCGGAGAGACCAACTTGATAATGTCGGTAATGCTAAAGCACAGCGGTATCTCGAAACGGACTGGGAAACGCTGTTTCGCGACAACCCAGCATTCGATCTTTTCTTGTAGTATAAAGAAAACGTGTTTCGTCCCGAACTCCCAGAAGAACTACCCGAGAAACGCGATATCGAACATCGAATCGACGTGAAAGATTCAAACCTCGCAATGTCTCGTCAGCATTGGCGACAGTCACCAGAACAGCAGCGTGAAATCGTGCCTTGGGTCGTCGATATGATGAAGAAAATGTTGAACGACCCAGTATCAGTATACACGCTGCACCAACGCTCTGCGTGAGGAAACTAGTCGGTTGGCGGATCGTACACGACTATCGGTACTTGAACTCCAATACCGTGCGTCAAAGCATCCTGATGACCCAAAAGAAAGACATCATGGACGCTATGTCGGGAGCGCACTGGTTCTCCACGATGGACCTGATGTCAGCATGCTATCAAGTGCGTATACGGGAGAAAGACATTCAATTCACCGCGGTCCAAGCGCCGAATTGACTATGGAAATACCTGGTCTTGCCTAGGGGAGTCTGTAACGCGCCGGCAACAATGCATCGGTTGACGTAGAAGCTCTTCCGTAGCTTGGAGAATACGAAGTCGTTTTACGATGATATCTACATTTTCACGAGGTCACCGAGCATCGAAGATCATCTGGAAGCGTTGCGCAAGACTCTCGCTATTTTGCGCGACAACGAGCTGATTGTGAAACTGTCCAAGTGTGTCTTGTGCGCGGTAGATATCTTGTGCCTTGGCGACTTCGTCGTGCGCAACGGTGTACGTATGGACCCCGACAAAGTGCAGACGATGAAGGACTGGTCGGTACCACGGACGCAAGAAGAGCTTCACATCTTTCTCGGTCTAACAGGCTACGTGCAGCACTTCTGTCCAGAGTATGCTTCACTGACAGCTACCATGTTCGCTCTTCTTAATAAAAAAAGATAAGCGTAACGCGAAGCTCCACTTCAATGCCGACCAGCTAAGAGCTTTAAAGTGTTGAAGCGGCGACTGTGCAATCCACCCGTGTTGCATCTGCCTGACTTCAGCCAGCTTATGCGTCTTCGTACAGACGCCAGCAAGTTCGCGGTCGGTGGTGCACTATTCCAGATCGTCGATGGTGTCGAGCGTCCAATTGCGTATACTAGCAGGAAGATGAAATCAGC